TATTATTATACCCCCCAACCAAATATACCCCCCGCAAATTTTACCCCAAACAACCAGTGATTAGTGAATAATAATAATAATAATTTTTTTTTTTTTTTCAATGTAAAAAAAAAAAAAAGAAAAAAAATTTTATGTGCAAATTTAAAAAAATTATTTAAATAAAAAAAAAAAAATGAATTTAAATTTAATTTTTTACAATTTTTTTCAAATTCTAAACCTTTTCTCCAGTCATAAATTCCAGTCAATTCGATTTGATAATTTTTATCGATTATATAAAAATCGATTTATCGATTTTCGATAATAACAATAAATATAAAAAAATCGTGATCAACGTGGCAACGTAAAAACAAAAAAAATCATACGATATTTTCATAGTTTTACAAGTTTCCATAAATACATAAATAATAGTAATAATAATAATGATAATGACAATAATAATAGTTTTTCAAAAAAAAAAGAAACAACAATTAATTTAAATTAAACGAATCGATATCGTTACGTAAATGACAATCAATTTTTTTTAAATTTAAAAACTGCTACTGCTACTACTACTCCTCCTCCTCCTCCTCCTCCTACTACTACTACAACTACTACAGCTACTATTACTTAAAAAAATAGAGTCAAGGGCTTTAAAAAAAAAAAAAAACTAGAACATTTAATTACTCCAGGGTAATTTAATAAATTTTTTAAAAATAAATAAATAAATAAATAAAACTTGAAATTGTTTTATTAATTTATTAATTTTTTGTATAAGAATAAATTTTCCAACCGAAAAAATTTGTCTCGTTTATGACGTCACAAACGAGAAAAATTACGTCATTTTATCAAAAAAAAAAAAAAAAAAAAAAAAGGAAAACATTTCACAAAATGAGTGAAATTGATAATAATAATAATAATAATAATAATTTTTTTAAATAAATTTTTAAATAAAATGAAAAAAATTTTAAGGTGTGACCGCGATTGACGAATTATTATTATTATTATTAATTATTATGGAGGGGAGGAGGGTGTGGGATGAGAGGGGAGGTAGGTGAGTGGAGAGGGGAGAGAGGAGAGGGGAGGGAGGAGGAGGGGCATCGATAATTTTTCACTTGTTTTTTTTTTTTAATACGGTAGAAAAAAAAAAAAAAAAACATATAAGGCTAATGTGGTGGGAAGGATTTTGCCTAAGGGTTAAATGTTTATACTTGAAATTTTTTTTTTCCTTTTTTCTCTTTTCTTTTTTTTTTTAAACGCCATATTTCCTTAGTCATATCATATGATTAATTATTGTCGATTACGAAATTCGATAAATATTTTTTTTTTCTTTGGTTAAATCATTAAAAAAAAATAAAAACACATTGTTATGACATTTGTTATCATACATATCATTATATCATTCGGAAAATTTTTTTTTTATGCCCAATCGTAACTTTATGATACCAAATCGATATTTTCATTAATTACGCAATAAATTAAATTTTTTTTAACGTTTCAACGTCTTTTTCTCTTCATTTTTCTTTTCTTTTTTTTAAATATTCAATCCTAACGAAATTTTACAATTTATCAAACGCGGCAACTTTCTAATCGCGAACGTATCACAATTTGCATAGCGTAAAACTTTTAAGGCGCACGCATGAAAAACTTTCAAGTTGTGTAAATACGCCATCATTTTTCGATTTCGTGTAAGAAAAATGTATCCACACGAATATTTCATATCATATCTCAAATTGTATTTTATCACAAATGATTAAACAATAACAAAAAAATTATTATTATTATTATTATTATTATTATTTTTCGAAAACGAAGAAATAACGCAAATGAGAAAAAATATGCGCACAATTTTTTAAAATCCGAAAATAAACAAATTCTCATAATAATAATAATAATTATTATTATTATTATTATTTATTTAATTAAGCGTTTCGTTTTAAATTTAAACAAGTCAACGAATGACCCATCGTTCGATGTAATAATAATAATAATAATAATAATAAAATGAATCATTAACAAAAAAAAAAATAGTAACGGTCGAGCCAAAAAAAAGAAAAATTTTTCACACAATTTCTCATCGACATTTTTATCAATTTACCCTCCCCCTTCTCCCCTCCCCTCCCCCTCCTCTCGTCTATTATTAAAAAACCGACATTTCGTTTTATTGTTAAATATTTACCTGGCATTTAAAAAAAATAATTCCATTTAAACAAATTAATTAATTAATTAATAAAATAAATTAATTAAAAAAAAAAATTAAACCCACATCTTGGCAAGATTATTCTTCTTCCTCCTCCCTCCCTCTCTCTCTCTCTCTCTTTAAATAATTGCATACTCAATAAAAAATCCGTTTTAAATTTAAAAAAAAAAAAAACTTGTTTGTCTTTTTTCATCATCATCATCATCATCGAATAAACGATAATAATAATAATGATTCATATGTTTTTAATAATAATAATAACCGACAAAGTTAAGCCGTAAACAATTTTTTTTTACCACTCCAGAGTTTTTTTCATTTCGAAAAACAAACAAACAAACAAATAAACGTTTTTTTAAGCATCACGGTAAATATTTGTTGTTGTTCCTTAATTTCAATGATAACAAACGATTGTTACGACAACAACAACAAACATAAAAATTTTACGTAATTTTTTTTCCCCTCTTTTTTTCACGTGTTTATTTTTGTATGCAATTTAAAATTATTATTATTATTATTTTGTTTTTGGCAACTTTTACAAAAAAAGTGCAAAAGAACAAACAAACAAACAAACAAACAAACAGAAATGCAAAAAAATAAAAATTATTATTATTATGCTTTCATTCAATTGAAAAAATGATGTCGCGTTTCCGTATTTTTGTTATAATTAAATAATCTTGCCAAGATTTTATCGAATTCCTCCTCCCCCTCCTCCTCCTCCTCCTCTCTGTCTTTTTACAATTTGGCAAAATAAAATAAAATATAAATAACAACAACAATATTAATAATAATAATAATAAAATGTATCGTATTGTTTAATCGGTCGAAAAACAAACAAACAAACAACAAACAAACTTTTTAATAATCCCAATTTTGTATACATATTGACTGATAACACGGTCGTCGTCGTCGCCATTAATCTATCGATTATTTCCCTTTTTCCCCTACCCCTCCCCCCATTTATTTGTTTGTTGTTTGTTTTGTCGTGCTCGCGTACGCACACGCACTACGTTAGGGACAATTTCCCAAAATAAAAAATTTAAAAAAAAAATTCTCGTTCCAACTGCGTAATAATAAAAAAAAAATTTTCTTTTCGACAGAAATTTTCCCGAAAATTTAATTTTCACATCATCATCATCATCATCGTAAAAAATAAAATAAAATAAAATAAAAATAAACAAAAAAAAACAATATAAATAAATAAAATTGTTGTAAATATAACAAAAAAGGGGCAATCAATCGTTTTTATAAATCTAATCTTTGCGGTGTGTGACCTTTTGACACTACACGCACACACACACACGCACTCTTCGAACTTTTTCATTTAATCTTTTCTTCCTTTTTTCTTTCCTCATTTTGTTTTCTCTCTGACTGATAATAATCCTTCATTTTCTCTCTCTCTCTTTCTCTTTTTCCTTCTTCCCTCCCTTTTACCATAATTCCGACCCAAAATAAATAATAATAATAATAATAATAATAATAAGGATTTCGTCATTAAATCTCATTCATCGATTATATACCATTTGCGCACTTTTTTCTCTTTCTTTCTCTGCCTTCATTAAAGCATAATTCTACTTCATTACAATTATAATTATTTTTTCTTATTATCATTATCATTATGATTATCGATTACTATTATTATTATTATTACATTTAAAAATTTTATTTTCCGTAAATTCAATACGTGCGAGGATAATAATAATAATAATAATTTAATCCAATCCGGTAGGTAGGTACAACCTTGTGTGTACTTGTAGCGAGAGTGCAAAATGCACGTAATTTTAATCGATTGAAACATTAGCATGTCGATTAATTAGATAAGATTAAATGATTTTTTTTAACCGCGCACGTACCTACCCACTCATAATAATAATCCTCGGTTCTTAATCGAATTCGTTTTTTTTTTTAAATGAAAAAAAACCCGCGCGAATGTGTGATGATATGGTCATTCGCGTTTGATAAGAACACGACGAATTTACAAAAAAAAAAAAAAAAAAATAATTAATTAATAATAATGATATGATGTCAAAGTTCAAACTTTAATTTAAAAAAAAAAAAAAAATAAAACCGAGAAAAATATTATTTACACGCACGCGCACGCACTCTCCCCTGCACGACTTAACTAATAAACTTTGAAAGTAATTTATAAAAAAAAAAAAAAAAAAATAAATAAATAATTAAGAAATGTAAATAAATAAACAAATAAATAAATAATAGTAACGCCAATGATAATGATAATGACAATAATGATAATCATAATAATAATAATAAAAACAACAAACAACGAAAATTAAATATTATTATTATTATTATTATTATTATTTTCTTATGTTATTCTTACGGTTATTAATTACGCGATTACAAATACTATTATTACTGTAATATTTTAAAAATATAAATATATATATATATATATGCGCTCTCATATAAAAATATAATTTATTATTATTATTATTATTATTACTTTTTATGAAAAATGATTTGTACCTGATTTAACGCGGGGGCAAGTTTTTTTTTTAAACAATTAAAGATTATAATTAATTAATTTTTTTTTATTGCTTTTATTTATTGTTATGACGTCAGAGTAGGTAAATAACGAATCGTTTTTTTTTCTTATTCTTTGATCGCCATGTTGTTAATCTCGAATGGTAATACGTAATTCCATACTCGACGATGACATTGACAGAAGAATGTGCTGCTGGAGAATAAAAAAGACAAGACAATCACGGCGGAAGACATGGAGAAAAAATGAATGAAATGTTCACAACAAATGATTTTTTTTGGTTTTGGTTTCCTTTCCATCCGAGCACGAGCATTTACGTTTCTATTACATGGAAGTCGGAGTTAATAAATTTAAATCTCTCAGATACGGTTTGGATTTGAAAAATGAATTTTTTTGCGAGACTCCAGAGGTCGGAGCTATGGAATCCACGGCGACTCCCGTGTCCGTCGTTTCATTCAACGGTTTTTTTTTCAATTTGTCTTTATTATATTCGGTCATTTTATTAGAATTTTTAACGTCGACGATGATTCCACCGCTCCCATCCTTGCCGCCATCTTTTTTTTTACTCTCGGTCGATTCCAATGCGGCAAACAAACTCGACAGTATCCACGACGAACCGGATTTTTTATCAATGTCGTCGTCGCTCCCACGCAAACTATTTTCCCCGCTTTGAAAATTCAATCCGAACAAACCATTTGAATTGTTTCCATGATTGTTTTTCCTTTTCGTTATCGGTGATGATAGTGGGCTCGCGGGAAGGGATTTACTATTTCGGCGAGTTCTCAAATACGATGATGTCGGTGACAAATTTCCTTCCGTTTCGACTCGAGTCAAAGGTCTCATCGTTTTGTTCTTGTTCGATATCATTTGATGAGCAACTTCGACGACAGAAGCTCCACAAGCAGCTCCTTCACCCTTGAAACCATCATCCACTCCCATGGGTTTCATTACTTTCGGTTTGTCCACCTTGACAGTGTCTTGAATTATTGGAATGAATTGTTTGCATGAATCAGTGTGTTTGTTAAATGCTCTCTCTTTCACTTCTATTATTTCATTTATGCTTTTCAATTTAACCGATTCGCCACTTTGCTGCGGTTTTGGATATTTGATGTAAAAAAAATCCCCCTCATGTGTTGGTGGAGATAAAGTACTCGGATCGAATCCATAACTAAAATCATATAATACAAAATTAATTTTCTCGAAACAAAACAAAAGTTAATCGAGCAAAATAAATAAAAACAAAATCACTTTTAGTAACAAAATCTTGTTAAAGAAACAATGATTAAGCTTTTTACTTAATGTTAGCTTAAACAACACAGAACAAATAAAAATGTTTACAAACTTCACTACGTAATCAAATCACTATAATTAAACTTAAATAACATTCGAATAATATTAAAAGTAAATAAATTTTTTATGTCTCACTAAATACTTTATTAAAAGTTAAAATAAAAAAGAGAAAAAATGAAAAAAAAAAAAAAAAAAAAACATTTCACTGCCAAACAATTGCCTATGACCTCCTGTTAAATATATATATAACCATAAAATGACAGCTTACATAATCAAATAAACTTCTTATGAAATTAAGAAGTTAAAAAAAAAAAAAAAAATTTATACTCAAGTTAACATTTAACAAAAAAAATAAGTTTTGAACCAAATGAGAAATTTAAAATAAATAATAATAATAATAAAATGAAAATTTTAATTACTTTTCAGTCTTGATTCTCATCCATTGTGGAATCGGAATTCCAGATGTAAGAGACCTATCTTCATTAACCGAACTCATTGGAAATAATTTCATCAACTTTTTTTTTTTCTTTTTTTTTTTTTTTTCACAGAATTCAATTAATTATTATTAATGTCTTTCTGGTACAAAATTGTATCAGAGGAGTTATGTATTAACACTAGGAGTAGGCTTTCGACTTCTGTATAAACTAAAATAAATAAAAAAGTCTGTTACAGCATGTTTATCAGTTATAATATTTAATAAACATGAAAATGCAAACACACGGCGAAAGTCAATCAAATGCAACCTTAATATGACCTTGATTTTTCTTTTAAATAAAGGTTAAAGAACACAAAGGAAATTACCCGAACTGCAAAACTTAAAAAAAAAAAAAAATATGACCCAGAAAAACGTTTATCGTTATCTGAAGTAGGAAAAAAAAAAAAAAAAAAAAAAACTTTCCTCATGCCCGAATATATTTATTGAATACGTTTAAAAAAAATAATAAAGTTTTTAAAAACTTTATTTAGTTTATTAAAAAATAACTTGAGCAATATCGATATCTATTTTTTTTTAAAATATTTTCCACAATCAAACATCGAAACACACTTAATTAATCATAGGCCAAATAGTTACAATTTGCCATTCTGACCTTCGCCATTTTGAAGAAATATTCTTCGTTCGCATTTATTATTAAATCACAAACACAAAATAAAATATATATATATATTAATTTATTTAATTTCTTACCTTCATAATTCTGTCACAATAAATAATAAAAAAATATATGTGCATCGTCGTGTTAAAGTCTAGAAAAAGAAAAAAAAATTAAAAATAAAATATTAAAACTAATATGTGTATTAATCTCGCACTCGAACGCAAGAATGCGCTTGCGCCATTCACGTGACGTCAAATCACGTGACTCGCGCGCTAAAATCAGTTTTCTCAACTTGTACAAAATTTGCTGATTGTGAAAGTTGTGAGGGCCCAAAAAAAAACTAAAACTTGTCGAAATTCACAAATGCAAAAACTCATACAAACAAACAACAACAACAACAAAACTAAATATATATATTTAATAAACGAAAAGAAACTAGTATCAAAAGTAAGGTTATTGAACTAAAAAAGAGTATTTGAACAACAACAACAACAACCACTATCAGTTGACGATTATTATCAGTCAGCTTTATAATGTTTTTTTTTTTTAAATTAAGAAATTCATCATTAAAACAACCATTTCCCTACAACCCAACAACCAACAACAACATGCATGCATATATTTTTTATTTCTTAATAACAGGTTTTTAATAATAATATTATTATTAAATACGAAATTACAATATAAAGTTGAGATAAATGACTAATTAACACTAGGAAAGAACGTTATGTGAATATTATCAATAACAACAACAACAAACAACAAACAACAACATTGTGTATATATATGTAGCATGTTTTTTTTTTGAATAATATTGTATGCAACTCACCACCAAAAGGTAGAAAAAAAAAAAAAAAAATTTCATTTTTTCTTTTAAAAATTTATAAAGCCTTGTAATAAATAAATAAAAGACATTTTTTTTTTTTTTAAAATTAAACCAACGATCCAAATTTTTAATTTGACCATTGGCCTCTCTTGTCTGTGCCAAAATAATAAAAGACAACCAAGAAAAAAAAAAAAATTTTTTTTTTCTATAATTAACTACGACATCTCAACAAACTAAAATAATTTTTAAACAAAAGACTCACTGTTTTTTTTTTATTAATAAATTATTTAAACAATTTTCACATCCTTTACTACCTATCCCTCCCTCCCTCTCTCTCTCTCTCTCTCTCTCTAGGGGTATACTTGACACGATTTAAATTCTAAAATTTAAATTTCTATTAAATTCTATAAGATAGAAAGAGATGGAAAACGTGTTTGAACTTTTACACAACACATCTTTAATAAACCAAACTTATGGATTTTATAAATGATAATAATAATAATAATGATTTACAACCATAATACAAACGAGTTTGTTTCAATAATAATAAATTCTATTTTTTTTTTTTTTTTTTTTTTTTTTTACATAACCTTGGAATAATTTTTTTTTTCTTTTCTACATATCGATAATAATAATAATAATAATAATAATAATAATAATAACGGCAAGCAATGGAGTGTCTTGTAAAAAAAATTTTTTCCTAGCGTAAAGAGCCTTACTTAATTTAAAAAAATAATTCAACATTCACTTCTACGATTCTTTTTCTTTCTTTTACCAGGTCAATAAAACAAAAAAAATTTTTTTGAGCAATTTAACACAATATATACCTTAAAATTTGAAACGTGCCTACGTTTCCTCCTCCCCCTCTCCCTCCATCACCTCCTCCTCCTATTATGTCGTAGTTTCGATTTCGGTCATTTCGATTTCGATTTTTATTTTTTTATTCCATTTCAGTAATACTTTTTACCAAAATGTATACACGCCTCTATTAATTATTATTATTATTATATTAATATAAGAATTTTTTCCCTCCCTCTCTTCCCTCCCCCCTCCCCCAGACACTTACCCCTTGAAATAAAATTATTATTTGTCGCTTATTCGACATTATTCTCACGCTCTTGTTGTTATTATTACACAATAAATCAAAAAAATTTTTTTTTATTTTTATGCGTGTGCGTGCGAGCGTGCGTACGTGCGTGCGTGCGTTTGTGCGTATTTTACACAATTTTTCATACATATTTAATTTTAAATTTAAAAAAAATCCGATTGGAAAATACGTAAAAAAAAAAACATTCAAAAGTCTCTCCTCCTCCATCTTTCTCACGCACCGCAACGATCTACATCTAAAAAAAATTTAAATAAGATTAATTAATGCGTGAGTGCGTACACGCATACATAAGTAAATAAATAAATTAATTAATTAGATAAAAGTAAAAGTAAATAATAATAAATCATTTGAATAATTAATTTTAACTTCCTTAATTTTTAAAAAATTCTCATTTCACGTAATCTGTAAATAAATTTTTCTCTAGTGCGAATCCGTTGTTATTAACTTTTTTTAATAATAATAATAATAATAATAATAATAATTACGTTGTTCTTATCATCATCATCGTTATCATTGTTATCATTGTTACATTTAAAAAATTATTATTATTATTATTATTATTAAAAAAATACCCGGTCGGGTGGTAGATACTTCCTGGTCGCAGAATTGTTTTTTCTATTCTTCTTACGCGTGTGTGTATTTTTTTTTTCTTTTTCTTTTTATCTTTTCCGAAATTGATTATATTTGAACGAGATGAATTTTTTTTTAACGGTTTTTTTTTTTTTTTTTTTTTAAATTTCGAATGTTTTGAAATTATATCGTGCGAATGTGACAGAAAGAATGATCCAACCGGTTCGTAAAAAAAAAAAAAAAAAAATTGGTGAAAGTCTTTTTCACCCACCACCAAAACACACACACATTTACACGTCTCCTGCCAATACTCGGGTAGCAATATGTATGCGGATTTAACAACGATCCTCTAAATAAATAAATAAATAAATCCTAATGGTTATTGATTAATAATAATAAAAATAAATAATAAACCTTTATAATAAAATTTATTATTATTATTATTATTCGTTTAATAAAAATTTATCGAGTGAAATTTATTTTTAAAAAAAAACAATAAACTTTTACTCTACGATTATTAATTAATAAAATCCATTTTTTTAAAAAATAAAATATATAAAACTCGCTACTGGAATTAAAATAATAATGATAATAATAATGATAATAATAATGGTGATAATGGTAATAATGATAATAATTCAAACAACAATAATAAAAAAAATTATTTGATAAAAATTTGGCGGTTGGAAAAAAAAAAAATTTTCTTTTTCCTTTTTCCACGTGAGTGCACGTGTTAAAACCTTGAATAAAACAATTTCCCTACCTCCCCTCCCCTCTTCTCTTCCCTCCCCCAAGTGTAAAAAAAAAAAAATTATACTCGATTAATAAAAAAAAAAAAAAGTAACAACATTAAATTAAATGAGTGAAAATATCAAATAAATATTAAGAGAGAGAGAGAGAGAGAGAGAGGGGGAGAGAGAGTGAGAGAGAGAGAGAGAGGTAGAAACAACCTGGTGAATAATGAGTTCAATTCGTCGAAGGTAAAAGTATTATTTAAAATTATTGGGGAGGGGGGAGTTGGTTTAACGTTAAATCCGCATTGTCTCCAAAAAAGATTTTATAAGTCGGGAATAAAAAAAATGGTAGATCATTATTATTAAGTCGGACTTGGCAAATGTTTATAAAAAAAAAACTGGTGGTAAATAAAAAGTTTTTTGAAAGTTTTAGCGGGAAAAAGTGTTTAAAAAGTTTTTCCTTAAGTTATCAGTGATAATAACAAAATATCAACAATGTTGTCGATGGTGAGTACGTTGAAAAAAAAAAAAAAAAAAAAAAAAAAATTTTCTTTTTTTAAATTTTCTTTTCCCCTTTTTGGAATTTTCTTAACAAAATGCCGGGATTTAAAATGGGGGGATCGTTATTATTTTAATAATTCGACAGTAGCGACGGTCGGTACCCGTTGTAAAAAAAAAAAAAAATTTTTTTTTAAAGATAAAAAGAGAAAAAGAAAATTTTAATGATTATTCGAGTGAACCGAACCGATAACTTTCCATAAAACTGGAAATTTTTTAATGAGTTCTTATCAGTGAAAATTATATCAACAATGATAACCACAAAACAAATTCCGGTAGTTATTATTTTGTTTTTTTTTTTTTTAATTAAAAATTTTCCAACACATTCTCGAATACTTTTCTTTTCTTTTTTAACTATCCTTCCGCATTAATTTTTTGGGCTTATTATCATTATAAAACCAGAATATCCCGATTTGATCTAATTCAATATCACCAGTCCCCTTTTTTTTTTCCTCTTTTTGTCCTCATGTTTTCCTTGAAAAAAAGCGATCGGAGCAAGGGGCGTTTTCCCAAATAAAAAAAAAAAAAACCCGTTTGACAAAACTGTAGTTCCTAGTTTATTTTTACTAAAAGTCATTAGAAATAATGTCCTTGATGTTTGTTAACCTTTTGACAAAGTTGTTTCATTTTTTTCTGGCGGTGTAGAAAGTAACATTCGTATGCGCCCTTTTGGGTTTTGCCGCGTCAGTTCCGGTTGTCAAAGAAGGAAAATCAGAACAAAACAGTTTGGATTATCAAGTCGATCCACAATTTCTTAACTATCACTTGCAACAATTGCTTCTTGATCAAAATCAACATGTGAGTCATCAAGCTGCTGCCCATCAACAAGCAGCCGCTCAACAAATTGCTGCTCAACAAGCTGCCGCTCAGCAAGCTGCTGTCCAACAAGCTGCCGCTCAACATGCTGCTGCTCATCAAGCTGCTGCTCAACAAGTTGCCGCTCATCAAGCTGCCGCCCAACAAGCGGCCGCACAAGCAGCCGCTCAACAAGCGGCCGTTCAACAAGCCATTGCTCAACAAACGGCTCTTCATCAATCTACCGTTCACCAAGCATCCACTCAACAAGCCGTAGCTCAACAAACCGTCGGTCAACAAACGGGTCTTCATCAATCTGCCGTACAACCACAATCTCAATCCCAATCCCAACAACACGGTTCCCTTTCATCCCCTCAATACTCTCAACAAGATCAACAGTATCAACTTCAGCTTCAAAGTCAATACCAAGAACAATTACAACAACAAATCCAACAACAACTTCAACAACAACTTCAAGCCCAATACCAACAACAACTTCAACAACAACTCCAAGCTCAACATTATCAAACTCAATTGGATACGAAATCATCAACCGCCCAAGTAAGTTTTAATTACAACAACAACAAATAATAATAATAATAATAATTAAACAACCTCGCGATTGTTTTCTTTCTTTCTCTTTCATCTTTAATTCTAATATGCTTATTCATCTTATAAAAAAAAAAAAATTATGCAATGGCTTTTATGAAAGGATTACGTAATATTAATACGGTTACTAGTGAACAACAAATAAAAGAGAGCAAAATAACTTGTTTTCACTTCTAATGCATCGAAGCGGTTAAACATCGAAATTGGAATTGATAAAAAAAAAAAATTGATTTTATGCTCCCCCTCCCCCCCCCCTTTCTCCTTTCTGTTAAATTGCCAGTTTCATGTTTTTTCATTAACTTTATAGTCCCAATTTCGAAACTAAAAAATTTCGTCAAAAAAAAAAAAACATAACAATTTCTCTTTTTACATATTTTTTTTTTTTTTCAATAATTAAAACAATCACGAATTATTATTATTATTATTATTATTATTATTATTATAACGCACGATTCTATAAATTTTCTTTTTCTTTTTTTTTAGCCTCCACAAAGCAATAGTTTAACATCGAGCGTGTATCAAGATCCAACAGTTCAATATCAACCATCTACCCTTCCCCAATCTGCTGTTTCGCAATATCACGACGCTGCTGCTTATCAGTCTGCCGGTCAATATCAAACCCCAGCTCCACAACAACATTACCACCAATCTTCAAGTTCTCAATACGAAGCCGCCGTTCCACAACAATATCAAACTCCGAGCCCGCAATATCAATCCGCATCTCCGCAACAATACGAACTCCCAACATCGGCTCCACACTATCAAACAACATCTTCTGCTCAACAATATGAATTGGCAACTGGTGCCCTACAACAACAACAACAACAACAACAACAATACCAAGTGCCATCAGCTGCTCAATACCAATCCCCGTCGGTAGCTGCTCAATATCAATCCCCGTCGGTAGCTGCTCAATATCAAGTTCCAACGACAGTATCTCCACAATACCACGTATCAACAGGTCCAGAATATACCGAACCATCATCTCAACACCAATACCACGTTTCTTCTTCTTCTTCTCCACAACACCATCAACAATCCGAAACGTCTTCTGCTGCACAACAACAAAAGAATTTAGTCGGAGTTGCTTATTCTTCTGCTGTTGACGCATCAAAAACTCATTTCACCGGATACGGTATTAAATATTCATTTTAGATTTTCCTTCTTTTTTTTTCTCCCGACTAAATTATGAAGACTGTGTGTAAATCGAGAAGGCTTTTTTTTTTTTTAGTTTTTAATTAATATAAAATTATTTTCATTTTTTTTAATAAAAAATTCTCATTCTATTTTCTATTAGAATTCAATCCTTCTTTATCCAGCGAAATTAAATACCACCCACGTCAACAACAAACAAACAAACAAACAAACAAACAAAATAAATTAATAATGAATAAATCAACCTGACAAAAAAAAAAAAAAAAAAATTAAATAATAATGGAAAATTTAATATATATCCGGAACAATCGTGCCTGAAAATTTTTACAAGAGTATAAATTACAAGAAACGAGACACTCTCTAAACATCCTTGAGACCAAAAAAAGAAAAAAATTAAGGAAATGAATACGAAAACGCACACACGCACACACGCACCACAAATCCTTCGAGCATTTTTCCCATAACCTATAATCCCCCCGTTCAAAACTCGTCGAATCCTCCCCCACCCCCCCTCCCATCATCATTTGAGATCTTTATGGACTCTTCCAACGTTGTCAAATTACGAAACCTTCCAATTTTACTCTCCAAATCATTCAAACCAATCGCAAAATTTACAGGAAATCGATATTGAATCATTAATAAACGTTACGCACACACCCACCCCCCTCGCTATTAATAATAATGATAATAATTCACCCGAAAGGTATTTGAAAAAGAAAAAAATGATATAGAATCAAAACTTTGGTGTTGTGTGTGTCATAGTGCCACGCCCATTTCCTTTTTAGCACTCAAAAAAGTATTATTATTATTATTATTAATTGCAAAATAATATAAATTAACTTAACCGCGATAGTACATAATAATAATAATAAAAAAAATTCCCACGATTCGTGTGCCATAATAATAATAATAATAATAATAATATAAATTATTTAATTTTATGCAAAAAAATTTATATGACATGGGAACCTTTCGATACGAAAACAACATATCCATTAATTCATTAATAATAATGATAATGCTCGACTTTTTTCTAAATAATATAATAATAATAATAATGATTCAAACAATTGTTTAATAACAATAAAAAACAATTTATTATTAAAAATATACTACAAAATTTATTTTTCTACGCTAATATACACTAACATGGATATTTAAATGCATTCGTATTATTGCAATCGGGAAAAACATTTTCTCTCTCTCTCTTATCACTCTTATCATTATCATCACGTATATAATATTAAATCGGCGTCATTTTTTGTAATAAAAATAGAAAAAAATAGAAATTTCGGCGGTGATTATTCACTGACTGACTGACTGACTAATTTATGACTAAATGGAAAAAAAAATTCGTTACGTGTGTTTCTCTCTCTCTCTCTCTCTCTCTCTCTCTCCCAATAAAATCATAAAATATTTTTTTCATAACTTTATATAAAACGTTACGTTAATATAATGAAAGGGTTCGATATTTTACGCTTCTCGTGAATTACTCAACGATATACGAACGACGCTCTTACAAAATCGAACGTGTGACGTAATAGGAACGTTTTTTTTTAAGGGAACGAAAGAAAGAGAGAGAGAGAGAGGAAAGGCAGGTGGCAACGGAAGTACAAGGTTTTTTTTTAAAAATCGATTCATCTTTCGATTGCACGCTTCACTTTCCCAATCGATCGATGAATCGATCTATCGGTATATCGATCCAATACTAGTTCCTTGCATTTATTTCCAAGGTTTAAACTATCTCGAGACCGCACACGCACGAACGCAAACACGCCCTAAATTTTTTTTCCTTCTCTCTCTCTCTCTCTCTCTCTCCCCTACCCGTTACTCTCACAAAAAAAAAGAAAGAAAATCTTTCCTGATTGATTGAAGGTCAACAACGTCAAAAGACATTCGCCGTCACCGTCACCGTCACCGACGCCATCGATATTTGTGATTTTTTACGTATAAAATTTTAAAAATGGATGACATGACACACAATTACCCTCCACCCCCCCCCCCGTTCTGTTCTATCGCAATGGCGAACGATGAATCAGAACGAGAAGAAATAAAAAAAGAAAATGAAATAAAAACCTTAAATTCCTGATTTGTATCAACCTAATGATCGATTTGTTTTTGATAGTCCAATATGACCCGTGCCTGATTTTGTCCGCTTTCGTAGGCTCCGTGAACGGTTGAAAAATAATTCATATGAGTACATTCTCCCGCCAATAAAATTGTAGGTTTCTATAAAGAAAAAGAGACAGAAAAAATTAGCCGCCATTTTTTTTTTTTTTTTTTGGCAAATCTGTTGATTTTTTCTCTCTCTCTCTCTTCTTTGTCTATCCGTTTTAGAACCTCCCCCCAAGCTAAACCTAATTAATAATAATAATAATACACATATGTAATTTTCTACTCCCTTTTACTTCAGGGTTTTTTTTTCCACATTGTCAAGTTCGTCGGTCATTCCACTTGCAATTCCAGGTTCGTACCCCCCAAGCTAAATAATAAATTTATTCAAGGTTTTTTTTTTTTTAGGGTAATTGAATAATCATTATTAACTTTCTAAATATCTTTTCGCCCCACCCCACCCCCTTTTTTTCTCCAGTTTCTTTGATTCGACTTTTAATTTATATGTAAATATTATCATTATTTAATTAATCATCGTGAGTAGTGAAAAACCTTATTCACGTTTTTTTTTTTTTTTTTTTTAAGGATCGTTTCCGATCTTTATCCAATATGATACGTAACGTAACATTGCGTTAACATTGAAAATATTCATTTTACCTTGTGAGTTGTGCCTGATTTCGACACCGCCGCCGCCGCCCCCGCCCCCGCCCCCGCCACCACCGTCGTGTACACGGGCTGAGCTAAATTAGATCCGTTTATTTTAGGCTCGTCACATTTCACGGTTATGTGACTGTATCCACCTCTTACGTATTCGTTTGACCACCAAGTCGATCTTTAACGAAACGAAAAAAAGAATGAATGAATGAATGAATGAATGACTGATCGATCGTTCTAATGATAATTGTTTATACCTGATGACTTTTTTAGGGTGCGGAACGTCCGTCCTGTTGCAAAATTTTCTCAATATATCCGTCGCGTCTCTCCCGATTTCTTCTTCCGTCAATCGTTCGACGATTTTCGCTCCTTCTCCTCCGATCCAACCCAACAGAACGGGTTTGTCTTTGATGATGACGTCGAAACCCGTCACGTATTTACCCCAATGTTTCCCTCTCTCTCCCTCCGACTCAACACTCTGAGACCAAACCAATTGAAAACCTTTCACACCCGAATCCCACCATTTTTTCTCGTATATTAAAAATATTTTGTCGAGGACTCCGAAATCTAATAATTCGATCGCCTGAAAGGTAAAATAAGGGAAAACTTTTTTTAAAAGGGATTTTATTATTATTATTATTATTTTTTTCCTTTCCGTCGCAAACGTTAATGTAATAAAACGATGATGGAAAATCTTATATAAAATATAATATAAACGTTTACTTACCTCGGATAAATAATTCGGTAATGGCGGATAAAACATTGTTTTATAATTTAATTTCAAATACCCTAACGAACAAGTAACAATAACGTGTTGTGCGTAAAAAGTCAAACCGTTTTTACATGTTATTTTTACATTATTATTATTATTATTATTATATTGTCTATCATTGTACGGAGTAATATTTGAGCGTTTCGTTTTATTGTCTTCGGAAACCCAATCGATACGTTGAACGGGAGTTTCGTAAACGATAGAATTTTCCGGAAGGCTATTGATTAAAACGTCGATCAGAGAGGAATAACCTTTTTTAAAATTAACGTAATCCTTTCCGCCGCAAAATTTAAAAAGGCCCCAAGCTTTCGCCGATAAATTGTGCAAATCCGAACAAGAATTATCGATTAATTGAAATCTCGTGTGCCAATCCAACAAATCCCTTTTTATCTCTTTTACCTTAACCGAATCTTCCGCACAATGTTCATTTAGATACTCATTAAATTTAGTCATAAGTTCATTACCGATGGAATTATGATAATTTTCATCGAATCCCATTGACGACACATTGTAGTAGTAATTTTCACAATTTTCCAATATATTTTTTATGACGTCATCGATTTCTCGAACGAGTGATTCATCAATCGTTTCGCCATTTTCTCTCAGGTACAATCCTTCTCCCTCTCCCGAGTGTTCTTCCGTCAACAAACGATTTTCCTCGCATATTTTAAATACTTTATTTTTTTCCCCGTGTATCCATTGTGCTCCCAATTCCAAATGATAATCCTCCATTTGCACGGAACGTATTCTTCCCCCGGGAACGGATTGTGCTTCCAAAACGATCAAGTCGGTTATCCCGTTTTCGCGAAGGTAATTCGCCGCGGCTAATCCACTTATTCCAGCTCCAACTATAACAACCTGATAATTTTTCGGTAATTTGGATTTTTTCCTGCGAAATAAAACAAAAAAAAAAAAAAAAATTGTCCGTTTTCATTTTTTAATATGTCGACCATATTGCGCCTTATGCAAAAAAAAAAACAAACCCATCTATCTATTTAGAATTTGAAAAGAAAGACAAATTAACTACAAAAAAAAAAAAAAACAAAAAGTAATATTATAAAATATTTAAAAAAGAATCAAAATTATACCAATAATACAAAACAATACATTTCCCAACAGATAAAAAAAAAAAAACAAGGTACAAGGTTTCTCTCCCATTTCCCACTCCCTTTAAAAACTTATATATTTTGGTTCTTACTTACAACATATACATTTTTTTTTTTTTGTTTTTTTTTTTTTAGTACAAAAAATAATTCAAACTGGATAATATTGAATCCATCTCATTTTTTTTTTTTTTTTTTTTTTTTTACTGATGTATTTCAAAAGTAGGTTTCTTTATCCTAAACAAAACAAAAGATTTCATGTCATCATGTTTCAACACATGACTCACATTGTGATTGTTTTTTTTTTTTAACAAGTACTAATTTAAAACAAAATTAAAAAAATAAAAAAAATTTTCAACTGTTAAAATGTCGCCCAATAAAATTTAATAGATATGACTTACATTATCACTGGAAGTATCCTGTTAGCTTCCCTTCGTCCAGCATCTACTGCTCCATGAACTGTTGAAAAATAATTATCGTGAGAAGCTTCACCTCCGAATAAAAGAATCTATAATGATAAAACAATTTTTTTTAAGCTTTTCCTTATCTAAATAATTTACAAAGGTATTAAAATTTAAAAAAAACCAACGGGTAATCCTTCAACGTTGCACACTGGTTCTGCTAAATCACGTGCTTTTACATCCGCTTCCTCCGTTTTCATTAATCTACAACTGTATGATCCTCTAAAATGAGAATCCTGATACCATTTCGATGTCAAACAAACTTGAATGGATGATATGGTAAATGTCGAACCCAAAAATTTTTCAAACAGGTAGTTAAATCCTTCAATGAGTTCTTTCGTGGGTAAAGTTTCCATATGTCGAGCAGCTTCACCGAGTATAAAACCTCTCAATATGGAACTTTTTTTATTTATCGGATGAAAACATATTACACCAGATAACCATCCAGTGTTGTCATTTTTTCTTTCTTCTTCTGACCATAAGAATCCAAAACCGGTCACGTCTTCTGCCCACCAAGGATGTGAAAATTTTAAAAATATTTTATCCACAGTTCCGAATCCCAAATTCTAAAAAAAATGATTATTAAATTAAATTTTTATGTTTTGATACTTTTTAAAAATGATGTACGAGACTTACCTCAATGCAAAGTTGTTTTTTTAATGGTAATGCTGGTGAAAATAATTTAGTACTCTTTTCTTTTAAAACACCTAAAGAACAAGTTAGCAAAATGTGATCTGTAGAGTACATTGATCCATCTGTACAAGTAACTAAAACATTTGGAACATTTTTATCGCATTCTTTGTTCCATTTGATAAATTTAACTTCTTTATTAAATAAAACTTTTTCTTCGACAGGATACTGTTTTGAAACACCAGGAATGTTTCCCTGAAACAATCCAACATAAGTTTTTCATAAAGTTTTATTTCATTTAAAAAAAACAAATTCACTAACCGATAGAATATTAAACAAGGCGCTAAAGCGATTATTTTTCCATGTAATTCCTTGATTACCAGGACAATCCCAATATTCTAATTGTCCTCTCAATGAAGTTTCATGCCATGAATGCGAACCATCTAAACCATTTTGCCATTTTTCAAAATAATTAACAAATTTTTGACACAAGCTATCGTTAATATTATATTTTTTTTTCAAATCTTCAATAATTTTATTGAATCTAAAAAAAAAAATTATTACTTCATTAGTAATTTTAATTTCAAAATTAAAAATAATTATCAAAAGGCATGAAATTAAAATTTTATTATCCGTCGTAATAATATTTTGTGATAAAAAAAAAACATACTCTGTATTAAAATAATCTCCGACTGATTCGTTAAGAACTGTTTCGTCTAAATTTTTATCACTGATGTGAATAATTTTATGAAAAGCTGAAACTAATGCTGTGCTAATCTCCTTATTTATTTTATGACCCGAATGATCATAAAAAGTTGTCATATCTAATTTTAGGGTATTATTTTTGTCTGTGAGATCATACTTATCAGCCAATTCGAAAACAGAATTATTATGTTCGCCATGAATCCATTCTGCTCCTATTTCAATTGTTTCTTTTCCTAAAATGCAATATGGAAACTTTGAATTGTCGTCATGACATAAGTTTTCGCATTACTTAAAAGTTTTAATTTATGACAAATTTTTTTAAAAAAAAACTTTTACCTAAAAATGATGTGTGCACTCTGCCTCCAATTCTACAACCAGCTTCTAATATTCGAAAATTACTAAATCCATTTTCGAGTAATCTTACCGCAGCAGCTATACCTGATGCACCTGCACCAACTATTAATAGTTTAAAATTTTCCATAATTAACTGATTTTAAAAAAAAAACTTTCTCTCACACGTCAATATATATATATATACATTTTAAACACGTGAAAAATTTCAAATTAAAAATTATGATATTAATTTATTTTTTAATAAAAAAATATTTATCGAATTCTTCATATCTAAAGGGAATATCACATGTGATAATAATATATTACTACTTTTTATTACCTACAGTTGAAAAATTGTATAATAAATTCTTTTTTTTTTTTTCTCGTTAAATTTAATCACAAAATTTTTAATAAACTCTATTACTTTTCCTATAAAAAATTACTTTTTTTCAAAAATTATTAACATTTTAATTTTAAAATAAAAAAATCGGTTATAAGTCGTTTCACTACTTTTTTTTTTTAACGCGAAATAAATTTTTTTAAGTTGGCAATACGGAAATCAAAAAAAAAAAAAAAAAAAAAAAAAAAAAGTGTTCTGCTGGCATAAAAACAAATTTTGATTACGTATTATGTTTATTTATTTTATTAACTTGTAATATTTTTAATTAAAATAAATAAATATAATTCATGAAATAATAAATTAATTATTACAACTAATTATAATGCTTAACTCCAGGTTGGTCATTTTATTAAATTCTATATTTTATGAACTCTCCCTGAAGATTTTTCATAAAAACATTTTTTGATATGTCACTCTGAGTAATTCTAATAATAGAAAATGTTCAAAAACACAAACCTGATATGAATATAAATTTTTAGAAGGAATGTTGTACCAAATCCTGAATTGGAAACACTCAGAGCAAAAGCACTTTTGGAAACATCATCGGAAACAACAGAATGGATATTACACTTGATTAAAAAAACATCATCAATTCATGCAGGTTTTTTATTTGAGGATTTGAAAACCTTACAAAATTTATGTTTGTACATAAGTGAAACACCCAATAAAATAACAAATGCAGGTTGGGAAAGTTTAGGTTATCATTTAGGACTTAGCATTAGCTTGCTCAAGGTTAATCATATTTTCCGTTAATTAACTTTATTACATTTTGAATACTTTTATTATTATTATTATTATTATTATTTATTGCTCAGGTAATCAATCACAATAATTTCAGTAAAGAAGATCCTTGTTTTAATGTTTTATTAGCATATGTTCAATATGAGAAAGCATCGATTGGAAATATACTAAAAGCATTACATACAATGGGAAGACTTGACGTTTTAAGCAGGATAAAAAATTCGATAAACAGTAAGAAAAAAAAAAAAAAAAAAAAAAAAATTATGTACTTCTTTATTCGCATTAAAAACAATAATAATAATAATTATTATAAAATATTCTTTTTCTTATTTCTTCAGCATTAGCAGACATCATATTACAATGTAATAATATGAACATAAATAATAGTGTTATCGATGACACAAGTGATTACGAATCACTTCCAACATCCGAAGGTAAAATTTTCTACATGGATTTACTCGAGTGTGAGTGAGAATCTTTCATGTAAATTTTTTTGTTTACATTTTAAACAGGTTGCAGCGCGAGTTACGACAGTTCATTTGCTTATTCCGAAACGGAATCCATGATAAAACCTAAATTAATACCTCCGGCTCCATTCATTTTTCAAAATTTAAAACACAATTTGGATGACGTCACGCAAAAAATACAACAAGCCGTTCACGATTCGGAATCGTTCGACTCGTTGTCGAATGTCAACGAATCTAATGGCGTCGTCGTGGAAAAATATAAAATTTTAAATCATAACGATTCGGAAAATAATTTTATGAAATTCATTAAAGAAAGATTGGATAAATCGACCCGCATCATTAATAATAATAATAAAAATAATAATAATAATGATAATAATTACAAACCGCCACCGAGAAAAAAAGTAATACTAATGAATGATGATAATAATAATATAAAACGGAAATTTATTTATTTTTTATTTCAACTCACGTTTGTTTGTTTGTTTGTTTGTGTTGTAGAAATACGCATTGAAAATATTTTTAACATTTGCACAAGATGGCGAACATTACGCAGCGGAAATAGCAAAAAAATTAAGAAATAATAAAAAAAAAGATGGCGACGACGACGACGACGACGACGACGATTCGCAAATCGGTGTACTTATTTTATCAGAACACGTGGAATTAGTTACATCGGATCCGCAAATTTTCATCGAGGGATCTTTTCATCAGGTAAAAGAAAAATGAAAAAAAAAAGAATTTTTATTTATTTATTTATTATAAATTTTATTATTATTATTATTATTATTATTTTCCCTCAATTTTTTATTTATTTTTCAGGTCGATTACGTTTGTCCGATAATAACGCCCGAATATTACAAATTAATAACGAGAAAAGAAAAAATGATGACGTCATTAGAAATGGAAAAATTTAACAACAATAATCATTTGGATGCGTGTTTCGTACAATACATTTACCGACTTATGAACACTCATTTCGTTGCAAACGATTGTCTTAACGAAAAAATAAGGTGCATCATACCTGAAAAAACATTTTCCAACTTTTCCATTCGTCGTTTTTTACTAACGAATCCAATATTCGGATCCTGGTTTAATTACAACGACATCGATGACGTCGCCAAATTATTATTAAAAGGAGTCCGGGAAAAAAAAATAAAATCTCATTCGTTTTAAATTTTAAAAAATTTTTTCCCGCCTTTTTTTTCGTCCCCCCCCCTGCCTCCCCCCACTTCACTTCCTACACTCACTCGCGCCTAACGGAAGTTAATTGCATTAGGGCGATCGATCGATAACGATTAAATCATTTCCGGTTATGATTATTTTAATTCGTACATCGATTATACGATATCGTTTCCGTACCTGAAAACCTCATAGAGAGAAAGAGAGAGCGAGAAAAGAACGCAGGTTTTCTTCTTCTTATCATCATCATCATCATCATCAAAATTATTTAAAAATAATAATAATAATAATAACTTACTTTATATATATATATATATAGTTGATTTACCTCCACCGTGTTTTCTGCTTTGCGGGGCGGGCGCGGGCGGGTCGGACAATGACGTAGTACTATCATCATCATCATCATCATCATCGTTGTAGTTTGTAAGTTTATGCTTGAATCACAGTCGTCGGATTACAAAAAAAAAAACATTTTCTGTTCGAACGTGACGTGACGTGACGTAATTAGATAAGTAAGTAAACGATCGCCGATATAGTTTTCCTCTTTTGTCATCATCGGATCCGGCGTGAACGTTTTTCCTTTTGTGCGACGTTCGGCTCCAGCCGTGTAAAGCGTTCGCGTGAAAATTTTTTACGCACAAAACGCACAACGTGCGAACGACGAACGAATCATTCGTGCAAAAAGTTTTCCCGGAAAATTTTTTTTGTCCTCCTTCTTTCTCTCTTACACACTCACCGCGATTCACTTTTTCATCTTCTTCTTCCTGCTTCCCCTTTCTTCCTTCTTTTTTCTTCTTCCTTTCTTCCTTCTTCTTTTTGAATGTCTTTTTTTTTTACTACGGGTCGATTGCAAAAAAAATATTTACAAAAGCGAAATGAATTCGCGTTCAGTTTTTCTTTTCTTTTTAAATCTAATATTGCACGATAAGAATTTTCGCGTTTTTTTTTTGAACGCCTTTTTAAAAAATTCGTTTCGTTGCACTTGAAATCACGTCGACCCGTTCGTACGTTCGTTTCCGTGTTCATCCGATTCCGCTCGGAATTTTCCTTTTTTTTTTGTTTTTTTTTTTTTTTTTTTTTCTATTTTCTTCTTTTTCTTCTTCTTCTTCTTCTGACATAATTTTTTTATTTTCATTCCTTTTGCTGATGACTTTCGTGATGATTTTGATCTTTCCCGTGTTTGACTCTGTTTGTACCACCATCTTGATCCAATAATGTGTTCGACGTTGATCTCGGTACGAGTACGACCGTGCCGTCGGCGGATTGTTGAAGGCTGTACTCGTACGGGGAATATTGATTTCCCTCGGGATCTCTCAACGCTTGAAAAACGTGTCTGTAAAGTTGACTAAATTTTTCTTTTACTCTCAAACGTTCGGCGACCATGTAATCCCTTTCCCTGAGCAGACGATGTTTTCTATCTCTCATTTGTTTAACTTCGTCCGCGAGCGATATTATTTGATCGAGTTTTCTTTTCCTACAATTTTGCGCTGCTACCTGCGTGACATATGTAAAGTTTTTTTTTTTTTTTTTCTTAATTGAATTCTTTTCTCTCGCCATTTTTATTTATTTACAGTATCATCTAATATTTCTCTCACCTTGTTTTTACCCCTTCTCCTTATATCTCTTATAAGTGATAATTGAGCTTCGCTAAGATCGTATTTGGACAAACGTTCGTTGAATTCGTCCATTGGAAGATTAACGATTTCTTCTACCGGCATGGGAATGTTCATTGCGTTGGCTCGTTTTTCATCTCTCGTCAAGTGATCCTCTTCGGATTTACGTCCCCTAGAATTTGTTTTTTCTCTGTGTGACGGTCTCGCCGCCATGGACACGCTTCCTTCCGCGTGTAGAGGATACGTGTGATTATGATGAATGTGTTCCAAAGATCTCGCACCTGAAAATTAAATCGAACGTGAATCTTGACTCATTTTGGGGGGAGGGAGGGAGTATGCGACGGACGGTAACACCCACCCGTTTGATGATGGCGTATAAAATCAAGACTACAACTATATTTCACTTCCGGCATTTTATTTCCGCAAGACGGCTCTACCGTATTGTTAAATCCGGGAGGCACAATGGCTTCGGCTCCTGTTTCAACGTATTCGTATTTGACGGGAGCCGGTGTTGGCGTTGCCGTCGGTAATAGTGTGAGAGCTCTGTGAGGAGGCAACGTCGAACCTGAACAAAAAAATAATAATAATAATAATTCACGCGGAATGTAAAATAAATATAAAAGGAACGTTCCTCTCTATTCCTTCGGGAATAACTTACCCGTGGTCGCGTTTCCTTGTTCTTGAAAATACCTTTTACCAAACATGTGATGCTTTTTTTGTGCCACCGGAGGTATGTGACCGTCGGGAGTGGCAGATTGCGGACCTGTATTACCTAAAAGTGGTCTCCCCGTGTAACTGTAGTCGAACGGTCTAAATTTACTGCCATTGATAATAATAATAATAATATGGATTACGACGAGCCCTTAATTAAAAAATTTTTCTAAAGAAAAACATTCATTCGCACGCGCACTCACCTTCCGTGGTAATCAACGTTTCCGTAATGATCACCCGTGTTGTGTCCAGAATCTGAACCCGTTTCCATCCATTCCCCATCGGAGAGGGAAGGAACTCTTTCGGATCCCATCGAACTCACCGCGCTGTCGCTCGAAGCGTCCAATCTTTCTTCCGTGTGACCCACTGGGGGTCCTCCGGTTGTTGTTCCATTATGTGAACTGTTGCTTTCGAGCATTCTCATCGGGTACATGCCTGAAAAATAAGACAAAATAATTACACTCGCTCACGAGTTTTCCAGTCCAGCCATTATAAAAGAAAATTCTGGAAAATTCATCACTTCCGTTATCGGCGTAAAGAAATTCCCAGAATTTCCCTCAAACCTAATTTTTTTTTTTACAAACAACAAACAAACAATTTTTAATTTTTAGGTCAATTTAATAATGTCCCCGATTCGAGAATTTATTTTTTCGGGCCTTTCTAGAAAATTCCACCGGGGTGAGAATGGGGGAAGTGAAGCAGGAAGAAAGAGGAATCATTACGACGATTTTTCCGTCGGAACCCGGAAAATCTTTTCATTTCACCGTACCTGAACGACAACAAACAAAAAAAAAAAAATAATTTTCTCGTCGTTTGCACGGAAAACAAACATAACAAACAACCGTCACGCTAATCGGATTCAATGCGATTCATTTAATTTAATCGATTTTTTTTTTTTTTTTTTTCAATTACTCGAAACGATTTTCGAGTCCATATTCGAGTCGTCGTCGTCCGTCGATTACACGCATTTTAAAATCAAATTTAATAACTATTTCCGGTTCTTCGATCTTCAATATTTTTTTTTTTTTTTTTTTACCGACCGACGGATAATGGAGGAGTATAAATCATTCGTGAGACGAAAGAAACAACAAAAAGAAAAAAAAATTATTTTAAAAAACAAAATTACTTCTGCTTTTTTTCAACCGTTGTTGTTGTTGTTGTCGATGACGTCGTTGTTGAACTTTTCTAATTTTTCCATTTTCCTTTTTTCTACTCATCCTCGTTATCATTTTTCAATCGTTATCATCGTTAACAATTTTGCTTCAAACGTTTTCCCATTTACAATTCGTAATTTCGCGGTTGTCGAAGTTGTTTGTTTTTCGTTAAAGACATTTGAAAATAAAAGCGTCACGTGATCGCGAATTCGCCTCGTAATTATTATTATTATTACATCCACAAATTTAAAAGTTTTTCTTTTTTGAATTTTCTTTTATACACGACGCGCTTTTGACGAAACAAAACGTCCCACAAACGGATACGCGCACACACAAAACCCGAAGGGGGGGACCGGGAGAGGAAAAGGAGAGAGAAAGAGAGAGAAAGATAGAGGGAAGAGTTTAAAAAAAAAAAAAGAAAAAAACAACCGAACGACGATACGATTGAGACGAATATTACTGACGAATAAATGATGCGATTGCATTCGTAAGCATCATCACTCACTTGCAAAGCCTGCAACAACGACAAAAACAACAACAACAACAACGTTCGACACATATGGGACAAGGTCAACGATTGTTCTAAACTCGTATACGTAAACAAAAAAAAAACACATTTTTAACAAACTAATGAAAATATTAATATAAATCGTTTACGATTCATATTAATCGCCATTTTAATCGTTTCGATATTTATTCGATATTTTTTGACTTAATAACGGAAACGGAATCGAACCGGAAACGAATAAAAATTTCGTTGTTTTTCACATCCTCCCCCGTTTCCTCCCACCTCTAAAGCCGGAGCATAATAATAATAATAATAATGCCGCGTGACCAATGCGATCCTCCTCGTTCCTTTCTAAAAGAAACCGGAAACTAACAAACTATTCATTAATAATTTTTTTTTTTTTTTTGTGTCTTACCTTCCGTCATGGCCATGTCCATCAATTGTAAATCTTCGTCGTTCAATATGGAGGATAAAAATCCTTCGGTCGTTTGATTCATTTCAGAAGTCGAATTCTAAATAAAATAAAAAAAATAAAAAAAAAAAATGAAAGAAAAAAACCGTTGCCGTCAGTCATAATAATCGGCCATCGTAAACGCCGACATTATTATTATTATTATTATTATTATTATTATTATTATTATTATTATTATTATTATCATTATTAATTAAATAGTTAAAAAAAAAAAAAAATTTTTTTATTTTTTTCCCCGACGGTATTTTAATTTAATTTTTCATTAATAATAATAATAATAATAATAATAATAATAATAATAATAATAAAGCCAACGGCCATAGCGTGCTGGTCACACCGGTTCCCGTACGATCACCGAAGTTAAGCAGCATCGGGCGTGGTGCAAACTTGGATGGGTGACCGTTTGAGAACGCCACGTGCTGTTGGCTTAAAAGAGCAAAAAAAAATGAGAACAAGACAAAGTAAGAACCAAAAAACAAATCTTGTTCTACTGTCGACCTGAGGCAGCTCGACGAGAACGTGAATTTCACTGCTTCTGACCCTGGCCACTCCAAAGATGTTAGTCACCGGAGCCCAGTTCAGGAGACAAATCGTTCCCATCGAAAAAGACGGACTCAGGAAGACCTTCAAGAATTGATGTGGTGCTATCTTATAATAAGTGGCACCACCGAAATTCGAGTATTTGTCCCTAAGGAATCGGGTAGAAACCTCGGATAAATACTTAAAAACTCCGACAAGTAGCCTTGTCGTGTTTAATGGTGGATAATAATAATAATAATAATAATAATAATAATAATAATAATAATAATAATAATAATAATACGAGAAAATGGTAAAAAAAAAAATAAATAAAAAAGCAGGAATTTTTTTAATTGATTGCAAAAATTTTAAAAGAAAAAGAATCGTTTTCGCACAAGTGAGAGAGAGAATTAATCTAACTACCAAAATGTCTCCTCGTAGGTACGTACCTGATAGTACATCAAATCGTGAGGATTTTCCATTTTGAAAACGGAACTACCATCCGATATAGGTTCGCTGCTGTTTGTCAAATTCATTGAAGTCGCCACAGCCGAACCCAAATTCGAAGAGCTCCCTAGAAAAAAAAAATAGAAAAAATCAAAATTAACATCGTCACCCCTCCCCCCACCCCGTTCTCCTCATGATGATGATAATAATAATTCATTTGTGGTCGGGATGGAAAATAATCAGGAAAACCTGAATCGATTTAAATTAATTGTAAAAAGAGGAATTATAATGACTCCATCTTCACGCATGCAATCATTTTGATTAATTATCATCATCATTATTATTATTATTTTAATAGAAAAGTTAAGGAAAGGGGATAATGATGATAATAATAATACTTAAACAATCAATCGCCATTCGTAAAAAGGAGGGGAAAATCAATAATGGACACAAGAATTCCAATCACGTTATCGATAACAAACAACGGCAACGTGACGATAACGATGATGATAATAATAATAATAATAATAATAATAATAATCATGGATTCGCATTTTATATAAAATTAAATTTCTACTTTTTTTTTGCGAAAGTTCTTATCATTTTGCTCTCTCTCTCTCTTGTTTCCCGTAGCAAAGTTCCAAGAGGAAGAATTGCATGAAACACAAAAGCGCGAGATAAAATGACGTAAATTAAATATGGCGTCGCGTCGGGATCTTTAAGGGATTTTCTGCGGGATCGTCATCGACTACAAACTCTCGAAATTTCCATAGTTGATGCTTACAATCCTAATGGTTGATTCGAAATCATTATTATTACGTCACGATTTATATAAAAAAAAATCAAATAATCATTTTGTTTAATTGGTCGCTTTTCGAAAATTATTATTATTATTATTATTATTATTATTATTATTATTATTATTATTATTATTATTATTATTATTATTATTATTTAAAATATATGCGATCTTTTCCGGATGCGATTTTCTACGGTTGCACACCACGGATTCGATTATATGCATTCGAAACCGTAAGGGAGAGAGAGAGTGAGAGAGAGAGAAAGAAGCGACATTAAATTTTAATTAAAGAGAGAATAGAATAAAAACGTCACAGCGAGAGCCAGGTGCGATGATAATAATAATTAAACGATAATCAATTTAAAATTCAGGTTTTTTTTTTTTTTTTAGGAAAACTTTCTACGTTTTACGTACCCATCGTCGTGCTGCTGTTGTTGTACGGACCGGATCCGTTTAAATCACCAACGGGTGGTGCAAGGGTCGCATTATGTATGAGAACCCCTCGTCCGTCGTGCGAATAATTATGACCATTATAATTTCCGTGGTGATGATGATGATGATGATGGTGGTGCGAGTGTGAATGATGTGCGAACGGATGATGAACGCCAACTCCCTCCTGTCCCGGAAGACTTAGGAGATTGGCTAAATCTTGCCAACGTTGTTCCATGCTCATGGTTCGAACAAAAGGCATCCGACCCTAGAATAAAAAAAAAATAAAAAAATGAAATGGGGGGGTTAAAAACTTTCTAATTACAATCTTTGCAACAAAAAATAATAATAATAATATAATAAAGAGATCTCTCTCTCTCTCTCTCT